CATAACAATTTTATCGGATTATCTTTGCTACTACGTAAAAAAAAAAACATAAAAAAATGATTGCAGTAATTAGTTGAAGAGCACAACTTGTTTAGGAATTAACGGTATTTTCGTTACAACGAAATTATTGCGCCCTCCAGCACGAACATAAAATTTTCAAGATTTTGCCCTATAAGCTGGTATGACGCAGAAAGAGCTCTCTGCCTTTGAAAGATAAAATCGGAAGATGGCAAGCTCTAGCTACATATTTCGAGAGATCCAAGTTATACCGTTAACACTGTACGGTAGTAGTAGACTCAACTCTCACGTATCCAGCTTGGCACTTCTAAATTGACGATTCTAAATTCTTGATCTGGTGACTAATGGAACATTACCTACCAACGACATATACGAGGCATATCTGGGAAGTCAGTGTACAAAATTTTTGTAGGTTTTAACCATTTCTGTCTAAACAAAAAATTACGTGATACTTTGGTACATTTGAAGTTTATCAAGAGTTAATCTGCGATCATCACACTCACTGAGATTGGGTCCCTAAGGAACTGGTATGTGAATGGTAAATATCTGGAAAAATTACAGTCACAATTGTTAGCTTGTGACTATTTTATTGCATTTTTTTGAAAGCTATAAGCTGCCATTTTTAGCTTATTTTGTGTTATTGTCTTTGGATTTATTTTATCAGGTGTACAACTTTGCTTCCGCCGTTTTTTTTTTTCCAAAATTAAAAGCTTTATTCCGAAAAAGTGCTTACAGATATATTATTCAAAGTATTGTCCTTCGCTAGCGACAACTTTCTCCCATCTTTCCGGCAATTTTCGGATCCCGGCTCGAAAAAAGGAGTCCTCTTTTGACGCTATCCATGAAGCAATCCATTTTTCCAATTCATCGAAGGATTGAAAAAGTTAATCTGCCAGGCCGTGTGCCATCGAACGGAATAGGTGGAAGTAGGAAGGGGCGACATCTGGGGAATACGGCGGGTGGGGTAAGACTTCCCATTTCAGCGTTTTCAGGTACTTTTTGACCACTTTTGCGACGTGAGGGCGAGCATTGTCGTGTTGGAGGATGACTTTGTCAAGTCGCTCTTGATATTGTGGCCGCTTTTCTTTTAGCGCGCGACTAAGGCGCATCAGTTGCATTCGGTAGCGATCTCCTGTGATTCATTTCACCCGGTTTTAAGAGCTCGTATTAAATCTTTGAAGGTTTTTTCTCTTCTACCACCATCACTGGAACGGCGATGATAATTCGCTAGGCACTGTCCACACTCACTTTAAAGGCATTATCATCTATGTGTTTCAACCAGCCTCAGCCGGTACAGCCACCTATCGGAAAACGGCGGAAGCAAAGTTGTACACCTAATATTTTTTATTTTTTTTTTTTTTTAATTAGATTATTTTATTTTATATAAATTTATTTTACTTGTTTATTTTATTTTATTCAACTCTATTTTGTCTTGATTTTTTTATGTTTATTTTATTTAAATTATTTTATTTTTTGTTTTTTTTTTCTTTATTTTATTTGGTTTTGTTTTATTTTCTTTTAACAATTGGTTTATTTTATTTCATATTAATTAATTGAATTATTACTTAATTATTTTTTTTTTCTTTTTTTAAATTTATTATATTTTATTTGATTACTTTGACTTTATTTTATGTCATTTAATTTATTTTAGTTTATTTTTTATTTTATTTCGCGGAGAACAAAGAAAAGTAGCAATTAAAAAAACCTCCACACTGTTGACGGAAGAAATAATAAAGAATAAATAAAACCGTTGAAATTGAAAAAGCTCGTAGTGGCATCTGGCACATAAATCACAAAGGCAAAGCATTTACAGGTGTTGAAAAGGGGTATTAATAATTAATAAGGTGTTCGAACAAATAAATCAATTAAAGATGCATCATCACCATAAAGGGAAGCAAATACTGAATAAGAAGGATTAGTAGAGCAAAACCATATATATATATATGTGTACGCAGGGCGACCTGTCAACGCCACGCGCCAAAATAAAAAAATATAGCATATTAGAGATGTATTTCCGGAAATTTTAGAAAAATTTGCTTAATAAAAAATCAAAGCACATCGCATACCATCGGATCTTAAGTTTGCTACTTTATTGTTGTATTGATAACTTTATATTATTACGTCATTAAATATTCTTATTTTTAATAATTTGATTATTTTTTAAAATTATGCTCCATTAAGTATTTTCTTTTATATTTTTTTCCATTTTTTTTTTTGTAAAATTAATACGATTTCCAAGTAGCTTTCCGCAATTGAAGGTGATTTATATGATTTTCTATTTATCCATAACCTCAATCTTTTTATCTTAATCAGCTATAAATCGACGTCAAAGTTTTGTCACTTGCTGAATAGCCAATTTGCAACTGTCTCATGTACTCCATTGAGTATAATTTTATTTTCACCAAATTGTCTTTTATGTTGATGAATAATAAAAACGATCATAAAATACATAAAGCCAACATGTGTATATTGTGATTAAATACACAAATGCATACGTGGTACAGCATGCAGATATACATAATTTTTATTAAATAGCCACAACACGCACTAAATTTACGACGCACCGCAAAGGCGCTGAGAGTGGAATTGAGCGAATGCGAATTGCACGAAATTGCCAACTGAAATTATTATGCGTCGGGTAAACGACAAAGAAACGGGTAGTATTTTCCGAAAAAAATGAATTGATTTTGTAATTAATTTCATAAAAAATTATATTTGATTACATAAAATACATATAAATAATACAGTACAATAATAATAACACATTAAATTTGAAAAAAAAAACAATATTTTTTCGGTTATTAGCTGCAACTGTAACGAATATTTTATAAATACTTTGTAAAAATATGTATCTTTTTATCATAACAAAAGTTTTATGAATATTTTTGTACTAAAATAAGCGTAATAATAAATAATATATGGATTTTCGTTAAAGTTTTATGGTCAGTTCAATCGTGTATTTCATGCTTTTAACACTTCATAACCACAGAAGGATCAATTTGGAACAACACTAATAAATTTAATACATTTTTTAAATACAATAAATGTAGGCAAAGTCACAAAAGTTAACAGCCTTCAAAGGTGTCGAGCTGGTTTATTTATTTGATATTGTTTTATAATGCAAGCATACGTCCAGTACCTTATATTAGAAACACACATAACAAATAATTAAAAAAAAAAATGTATACACCAAATTTTTGATTTTTGAAAATTACTAAATACTTTTTAATGCAATTTAAGTCAGTTTCTTATTTTAAATTTTATTCTACCTTTTTTGTACATGAAATTGTATGTCAATCCCAAGTATTTAAGTACCAGAAGGAGAAGCGGTAGATCCATCAAAATGTATATCGATTGGGTCAGAATGACGAGTTAAGCTGCTTAGCCTCGTGCGTCTAACCGTCTGTTTGTACACAAGCTATTTTCTTAGCTTTTGAGCTATCATCAAATCTATCAAAATGTATCTAGAGGCGCGAAGTTTAGTATTCTACACACGCATACATTGACACCGAAAATCATTAAAATCGGAGGACTTAAGACTGATATATGCAGAGCCGCCTCGAACCAACTTTTCGAAATTCGACAATGGGTGTTCTTTCTTGTTTTCATTTTATACTTATTGTATATTTTATTTTATTTCGTTTTATATTATTTTTTTAATTTTATTTTATATCATTTTATTTTCATTTATTTAATTTTTTTTATTTTATTTTATTTTTATTTTATCTTGCTTTATTATTTTTAAATTCTTTTCATTTAAATTTATTTCAATTAAATTTGCTTTATTTATTTTAATTTATATTTTTAAATTGATTTCGTTTTATTTTACTTTATTTTATTTTATTTTAATTTATTTCCGCCTATTTTAATTAATTTTATTTTGTTTCATTTCTTTTTACTTTATTTTCTTTCATTTGATTTTATTAAATTTATTTTTTTATTTTATTTTATTTTATTTTTATTTTACTTTATGTTATTTTATTTTAGTTTATATTATTTTATTACTTCATTTCATTTTATTTTATTTTCTTTATTTTATTTAATTTAATGTTAGCTTATTACGTTTGATTTTGTTTTATTTTATTTTATTTTATGTTACTTTACTTTAATTTATTTTTAAATTATAATTAATTTTATTTTATTTCATTTCATTTCATTTGCTTTTATTTTTTAATTTTATTTCATTTCATTTTATATTATTTTATTTAGATTTAAATTATTTTATTTCATTTTATTGCTTATTTTTAAATTTTTATTTTATTTATTGCATTTTATTTTTTTTTAATTTGATCAAATTTATTTTATTTTATTTCATTTTGTTTTATTTTGTTTTATTTAATTTTATTTTGTTTAAGTTTAATATGGTTTATTTTGCTTAATTTTTTCTTTTATTTTATCTTAATTTATTTCATTTAATTTTTTCTCTCATTTCATGTTACTATTCTCTTTTATTCAATTTTACCTTATATTATATTATTATTTTTCTTTTTATTTATCTCAATTTTATTTGATTTATATAATTTTGTTATATTTTTTTACTTTATTTTTATTTATATTATATTACATTTTTATTTTTATATTTTTTCTAATTAAACTAAACAAAATATTTTAAAATTTTTATAAATGCGAAAATCACTTGTTGACGAGTGTAGTTCATGTATAAATGGATCACCTCATTGGTCATTAACTAATGACAATTATGTATACATTTATCATAAATGCAAATAATGCGGAGTATCAACTAGTTTTTACCCGCTCTAACGCCTTCTACACTTAATACTCATTTTTTATATCCATAGCAACGAGATGTGTGTATGAGTATGATGACAAACGGGTTCCGATAAAAAAATATTAGTGTCCATTCTCTTGCACGTTGCGCTAAGTATTCAATATCCACTTTCTAGTTAGTCTACATGCGCAGATATGTACATTTTTTTTTTTGTAAGAACTCTCTATTCCCATCTAATGTTTCTTCGACTTACCGGTATTTGCACAAAGGATCCATTGTTTAGTGTGGGATATGAAAATAACGGTACTACTGGCGCTGTTCCATTCTTCAGGAATATTGGACCTTGTATTGGCGTCACTGTGGGCATTGAAGACTTTTTATTGGCATCTAAAAATACATCAATTGAAGAGAGAAAATATTATAAAAATTCTTAGATTTATTAAATGTGTTCTAGAATAATTTAGGAGTATTTCTACAAATATTCGAACAATGTGTAAGAATTCGTCAATTCAAGAATATAATATTGAGAAATCTCTGCAGCAAAGAAAAATGGTATAAGGTTTTAAATGAACCGCCCAAATAGAACTGAGAACGATGTCAGATATTCAGGAAACTAATTTTTATTTTCTTTTTTTTTTGTTCAGCCCTTTTTGGTATAGGAGTTTCGGTAAATATTTTTTTTTTGTTAGAAATCAACGAAATAGGCTTTGTATTTTTTGTACTTGTGAAATAGTGTCCATTCGTTCGAGAACAGTCAATCGAATCGGTTTCATCATTTCCAATATTTTTAAACCTTATATTTAATTTGCTTCAATTGCAACGGGTTTATAGTATTTTTAATTTTATATTGAAATTTTTGTATGTCTTTTATTGTCTCTTTTGAGCATCTTGCCCTACAATGCGCCGCCCACCTCATGCTCATCATCAGCGTGCCAACGAGGCGACCGGCATTTGCCACCATCTAACCTGTTTAGCACCAAATACGGTGTCAGCCACCAACCGATAAACAACATCAAATTCAACAAAGCCATCAAACAGTAATCATCTGACTGCAAGTCATGAATGTTGTAGTTGTTGGCTTACTTACAAGTGTGCAACGCGCTGCATTATGTTGCTTTAAGTGTATTTGTTGCTACTCTTTTTGCAATGTTTTACTTACTGCTGCTATCGAGCTACTTGGCAAACATTCCACGCACAATAGCAATCACACAAACATGCACACGCGCACACACAAACATACCGCAATCGTAGTCATCAACCGCGAAACAGAGAGTAATAATGGCAGCGATATTGCCATGCAAAGTAACATTGTTGCATTTTAATTGACAGTTTTGAAAAATTCCTAAACTCATTCACATACAAATGCACACACACACGCACACATATTTTTATGTAGGTATGACTGCTTGCTTTTAATTGTAATTGCATTTGCATTGCATACTGCAGTTGCAGTTCAGTTTCTGCCTCTCTTTGTTTGTCTGTCTGTCAGTCTTTGTGCCGCCTGTTGATTGGCTGATTGGCCGATTGACTCATTGCGATTTCTGTTGACGCTTTTGTACGTCGCTTACACTTTTTGCTACCATTTTTTTTTTAATTTCAAACGATTTGTTGCAATTTATCGCTCTGATTTAATGCACTTTTGCCCAGTGTAGAGCAGACAAACCCAGAGAGAGACGAAGAAAGATGGATTTTCCAATCACAAATGCAAAATGAGTGCATTGTGCATTGCAATTGCAACTTCATATTGACTTCGCTACCGATTTGCAAATTCCTGCATAATGTGTGAGTGTCTTCGATTTATATAACTTGTCTTTCAGGGTCTGCTGTTGGTCAAGTGCATTTATTTCAATGTTGCTAAAGTCAGTTTCGAGTATTTATCACTGCGAAATTTCGTAATTGTATCAAAAACTGGTGATTAAGATGGATTGCGAAATAATAATTTAAAAAAAAAAATAAATATATTTTGCAAATTTTTTGGGTTTAATTTCAAGTACAAGAAATGATATATCAACATTGATCCGTAGGATGTAAGAACCAGAAGACTAAGAGATGGATCCATCAAAACTTTTACCGATCGTGTCAGAATGACGAGATGAGTTGAATTAGTTCTCTCATCGGACCGTCTGTGTGTCTGTGCTTCTAATTGTACGCAAACTAGTCACTCGGGTTTTTCAATTATTCAACCAAACCTGAACTGTTGCATTTGAAGTATCATTTGTAGGAGCCGGCTAAATCCGACTACTAAAGCGTATATACACGACAGACTATTCAGGTTCGAAGTTTTGGGTCAAAAGTCCATCTCACGTTCTTAGATTGGATATTATGCATTGATGGACTATAACATATACATAACTGCCATACAACCGATTCTTCGTCAAAAAAGTATCTTAGGGCATGAAATTCATGTTCAACACATGTACGTGTGTACATATACACAAAGCTCGAGATTTTGTTCGCAGATTTTCGAGCAGCTCGAGGATTTAAGCAACTCGTTTATTGCTTTGAAAATTTCCCAGTCCGAGCTTGAGCGATTCGGGTTTTTTCGAATAATTTGAATAAATATTTTGACTATTTCCTCTGAACTTTTTTCTTGGATCAAAGTGCAAAGTGTAAAACGCACTGAAATGCTAAAGAAACTTTGATAAACATATATAAGAATTTGAAATTTTTAAAAAAACATTTGAGCTGCTCGCATTGATGGATACCCTGATATCTAGAGCTCTTGCCACCGAAGCCCATACAGTCAGCTTTCCAGATATGAAGTTTGAAATTTGATATTATACTTTATCACCGACGCAAAATCTAAAGCTTTGTCGTTTCGAAAACGTCTTCACCTATGAATGCACCGGTCAGAATTTTTGCTTTTACGGAACTTTACGCGCCTCTGTAATTTTTTATTTTTGTCATAAGTCGTGCTACGCCAATTATAATGACAACACCGATTTTAAAACTGAGTATGTGCGGTGAGACCCCGTTAAGTTGAACTGAATAGTATGGTTGAGAGTTGAGGTTTATTTATTTTATTTTATTTTGTGTTATTTTTTTGTATCATTATTTTTAACATTATTTTATTTTATTTTTTTCAATGCTATTTTGTTTTATTTTATATTATTTATGTTATGTTGCTTTATTTTGTTTTATGTTATTTTATTTTATTTTATTTTATTTGATTTTATTTTATTTTATTTTATTTTATTTGATTTTATTTTATTTTATTTTATTTTATTTTATTTTATTTTATTTTATTTTATTTTATTTTATTTTATTATTTTATTATCAATATTTTATTTATTTATTTTACTTTATTTTATTAAATTTAATTTTTCTATCGTATTTTATTTTATATTATTTAATTTAAATTAATTTTTTTCATTTTATCATTTTATATTATTCAATTTAAGTAAATTTTTTTATTTTATCGTTTTATATTACTTCATTTTAATTTGTTTTTTTTTTTTTATAAAATTATATTTCGTTTTATTTTTTTATATCATTTTATTGATTTTTTTTTCATTTTATTTTATGTTATTTTATTTATATTATTTTATTTAATGTTTATTTATTTTATTTTTTTGTTTCAATTTATTTTGTGTTATTTGTTTGTTTCATTTTATTTTATTTCTTATATTATGGTATTTCATTTCATTTAAATTTTTTTCATCGTATTTGATTTTATTTTTTGTTTTTTATTTTATTTCATTTCAGTTTATATTTTTTTACTTTGTTTTTTTTTTTTTGTTTTTATCGTATTTAATAATTTATAATTTTTTGTGTTTTATTTTGTGTATGTTATTAGTATATTAATTTTTTTTTATTTAATGCTATTTTATTTTATTTTATTTTTTTTATTTTATTTTATATTTTAAATAAAATAAATTTTTTTTTGTTTTGTTTTGTTTCATTTCATTTCAATTTATAATTTTTTATTTTGGTTTTTTTATCGTATTTTATTTTTTTTATGTTATTTTATTATATTTTATTTTACTTCATTTCCTTTAAATTTATTTATTTTTTTTATTGCATTTTATTTTATATTATTTTTTAATTTTATTTAATTGTATATTATTATAACATTTAATGTTATTTTATTTTTATTTTATTTATATTCATTTTGAGTTAATTTTTAGTTTAATTTTGTTTTAAGTAATATTAATTTTAATGAAATATTATTTTACTTTATTTTATTGTTGTAGATTATTTTTATCATTATTTTTATTTTATTTGAGTTTTCCAAAATTTGTTTATTTACTTACTTTTATTTTAAGTTTTATTATTTTTGCAATGCCACCATATTTATCTGCATTACGTTAATTGTGTCACTCTTTAGGACGGCACGAATGCGAATTGCCTGCACAAGTGTAATCGCTGATTGCATATTCCTCGCTGGCGTGCAAAACTACCTATGTAACGTGTGTACTTGTAGACAGTAAAAAAAAGCACAATAAGGACGTTTTGTGGGTCAATCAAACTAACTTGCATTCGGCGAGTGTATGCATTTTTCTTCAGTTTTTAAAAATCTCTTCCAAGAAAAAAACCTAAACTAAAGCAGAAAATCCGGTCATAATTCGTGCAGAAAATCAGCCGGCCGACCAGTAAGGCAGATATTGTATGTATGTGCATATATATGTACTTATGTACTTGCTCGTCAGTAGCGATGTCGTTCATATTTTTATTGTTGCTGTTATTTCAAGTGATATATATATATATTTTTTTTTGTGTAGTTTTCTGTAGTTTTCAGGTTGAAATTTCATACTTTCAAAACGACTTTCTCTTCAACCAACTTCTGCGGTACACTTTAAACTCTTGTACATGACACAATGTGGTATGCACATATTTTTACCACGAAAATTTCTCACTTAAGACCATCAAAGTAACAAGAAAAGAAAAGAAAAACAAAAAAGGGTGCACTTGAATTTCGACTGCTTTTTAATCCAAGTGCAACTTAAGCAAGCAAGACGCGAGTTGGATAGCATTAAGGCCAGCTTTATGTTTTTATTGTTGTTAGTGTTTTTGTTACTTAATGCAACAGTTACTGCATAAAAACGGATTGCTGAGTATGTGTGGCAAGTTAGTAGTGCAGAACACAAGAATTGGGGCAGGCAGATAAGCCATTGCGATATTGAATGAAACTGAAATCGGAGGTAGGAAAAATATATTTTCTGCTTGACTATTTTGTGGTCATTATAGTTATAAAGTCAGTATATTAAAACAAATAGAAATTTATTAAAAAACAAAAAATTAAACAAAAAAAATTCTAAAATTCTAATTTTTTATAGTAATATTTCTTTGAAAATAAAACTTTGCTTAGCATTACAGATCTGGTTCGGTTAAATTTATGTTTAGAAGAATTGAGTTTTTTAACTACAAATCTCACATTTTATTTCATA